TTCCACGCAAATTTATCGCAATATAATACACTATATTGCCAAAAGTATTTGCTCACCTGCCTTGACTCACATATGAGCTNAGTTTGGGGGTCCTTGGCCTGGAAAACTTTGAAGACCTTGGATTTAAACTATTTATAATGACTGTAGATTATGTTTATTGTATATCTTATTCTATGAAATACCAGAGTTAGCATCACTTGATATTTTGTTATCTTTGACGTCATTTTGTCAAAATATGAAATACGCTGTTATGATCGGGGGTAGGAAGTAGATCAGTTGAGTTAGTGTCCCTCTTCGGTGCGGTTTTTTGGGTTCTCTAGCCACCGCTGGTTTCTAGTCTCTACTTCATCTGCTCCTGCTTTCTGGATCCTTGGATGTTCCTCCAGTCTGACCCTGTTTCATCTCTACCTAAGGTCTCAGTCACTTTCCAGTATGCATCCAGTCCTCATTTTATTTCTGTTTCAACAACCTGAAGAAACACCATTCAAATCTTCCAACTCATCCTCCTGCCAAATTTTATATTTCAAATATCTATTGGGACATATCTTTTCTTCTTCTTTAAGGTCCCACCTCAATCAAGGGCCCTTAGAATCTTTCTAATCCACCCCTCCCCCAGTAGGGCGCCCCTGCACATTAACCAGCAGCAGAACAGTAAGAAGGAAAGATCATTTAACAGTTTCGGGCAGGCGGGGCTGTGTTGAAGTCAGGCGTCGCACAGTGCAGCTCGATCATGACCAACAGGTTTCAAATTAAACGCTGCTAATTCTGATGTCCAGTAACAGCGGCCATGTTTGCCACAGTGGAGACCAGTAACGCTCTCTCACCAGTACAGATTTAAACTGGGTTTTAGAGCTAACAGCAGGAGCTCCTGGGATGAAATGTGACTCAGGCTTTTTGCGTCTTGGGATTGCTTGGATCTGCAGTCGGACTTGAAAGTTTATATTTATTGAAATGGTGTGAAATTATGTTTTAGCGAAAACATTTTATTTATTCTGAATGTTTCTTGCTGAGATCTGACAGCAGGAAGCGGTGATTAGCGAGCTGTTAGCAGATTGAATCATTCAGAGATGAGGTTACCGTTGACCTGTTTCATTATGCAGATAACTCTGTAACCACATCAATCCCCCCCCTTCCTGTGTGGCTGCTGCTTTATCCCCTCCTCAGGTTTCGGAGGCATTGGCGAACAGGAAGCGGCTTTCTAAGTGTGATGCGGCGCGGCCTGTTGTCACTGGCCTTTCTAAAGCTGGGAATTACCGAAGCCTTGTCAGGGATGGATCAGGTTTAAGGCTTACCTTTCCAACACAGGAATGTTCAGAGGCCCCTCGCTTTGGACTGCTTTTGGCTTAAGATTAAAGCTTCCTGGGGTGTTTTCTTTTTGGATCCACAACGTTCCCAGGAGCCAACATCAACCACTACTAGATCCATCCCATGAAGGCCTAGAGTCTCAGCCTTCGGAGTATCACTGGTCAGGAGCAGTGTGATCTCCTCGCTAAGGGCAGCGGATCGGAGCGCTTACTGCAGCCACACAGGTGGGGCCGGCAATACCTTTAAAGGAGCAACATCTGCTGCCTGCCAGCCTGCTAAAGATTTTCAGCCTGTTTCCAAACTTTTTCAGACCCATTATTTTACAGCAGGCATCCCCAGTGTCGGTGCTTGAGGGCCGCTGTCCTACAGGTTTTTTTTTATAAGGTTTCCTACTCCAGCACAGCTGATTTTAATTGAAAGCTGATTAACAGGCTTTGCTCTTCTGCAATCATCAGAATCAGCTGTGCTAAAGCAGGGAAACCTCTAAAGTCTGCAGGGCCCTCGATTACCGACGTTGGGGATGCCTGTTTTACAGTAAGTAAGTATATTTCTTAACTCAGGTATATATCAATGAGAACAACAAAAACCACTATAAAAAACACTTTATAAAAATAAAACATAATTTTAATGTACAGGTTTACTTTTTGTACATAAATCTTGCCCTTCTGAGGCTTTTTGAAGGTAAATCTATGTTTCTTATGGTCCAATATGGCGTCACAAACCTAAAAAAATAATGTACCAGTTTAATAATGAAGAAGCTACTAGTCAGCTTTATATTTTGTTTTATATATAAAAACTATTAATTTTCTGAGAATGTGTTTATTTAAGAGCAACTATGCAAATTAACAAACATCTAGAATACAAGTCTATACTGGAAAAAGTTTATCAACCTGAGAAAAGATGTAATTGTTTTACAAGTAGAGATATAGACCTGTCTGGCAGAAAAAGGGCATTTTTCTCCGACTCAAGCTTCTTTTCTGAACATATAGCTTTGCGATCAACCGGAAGCAGTTCCACGCAAATATATCGTGATATAATATGTCTGACGAAATTGTTTTTATAAAATTTTTTTTTTTTAAATAAAGCATTTTAAATGCCACAGTAAACACATTTAATGAATTTTAATGCCAATTAAGGCCTTAATTTAAGAAATAATAATAATAATTATTAAATAATTATTTTTTCTTAAATAATTAATTTAAGAAAAAATAATTTAATGACTTTTGATGATTTTTAATGACCAGCGGAAACCCTGTGAATAAACTTTTATCTCTCAAAATGGTATCGGTGACCTATTTGTTGGTACTCGCTGATACCGATATCACCATTTAGTGGAGGATTGGGATGAATCCTTTACCAACATCATAAAACGATCAAATCTACTGAGTGGAAGTTGCAGAGGGAGTTAGATTATACCCTTTTTCATTGTAGAATTTTGAAGAAAGTTGAATTTGTTGCTCACAGCCACTTATTTATGCAGCTGCATTTATTGGTTTGTGTTTGTGTTAAGGAAAAAAAAAAAGATTTTAATGCATGTGTTTGAATTTGTTCTGCACCTTTTGGTTTAGATCAACTGGAGCAAAACTGAATGGAAGACATTTTTCATGTTGAACTCCCAGAACACAATTTGTGAACTTGTACTCAAGAATTTAAAGAGGTCTAACTTTTTTTGTAATTTTGACAGACATTTATTGTTACAAAACACAAAAGTTCGTTGCACAAATACTTTCACAACAATAGTTTGTGTAAAAGATTTTTGATGTGCAACTTGTAGAACTCAGTTTGCGAATTTTTACTTAAAATTTGAACAGAAGTTAATAAAAAAAACTAAACTTGTGATTTTTTTATTCTACAATTACAAAACTTAACTTATAACCTAACTCTCACCGCAACTTCAAATTCACACTTAAATTACGCAAAAAGTTTTGTTTTCAAATTACTTCATACAAAAGTGGCAACAGAATCTAACAACAACTGAGAAAATGATGTTGAAGTTAGGAACAGGAGAGGAATCAGTAGAAAGTGAGGGACCTTGTGGTTGGAGAACCCTAAAGCCGGGCATACACTGTACGATATTATCAATCGTTGAATGCAGCTACAGCTCAAACTGTATGATGAAACCTCCGGGTTTAAAAGTTTACAGCTCATGATGTTTGTTCTCACACTGTGCAACGCTCTGATGCAATCTACCTGCTCACACCGTGCATCTAAAAACCACGTCGGACTCAGCTCCGCAGTAAGATGGAGCTACTTGGACTCGTCTATCTGGAAGCCAAATGAGTAGAAGAGGAATATGAAGCTCACTAGATTGAAATACGCTGTCTTGACAATTTGTGTAATTTTGTCCTGAAAGTCCTAAAAAGAAAAGGTGACGACGTATTTGGACAAAGACATGGCTGAGCAAACGTGGCTACTACGGTCTGTCAATTTTACAGAAAGAACTCCGTTTCACTCACACCCCCACCATGCTTATGTGTTTTCGCCTGAGAAGAAGAATTTTTTTTCCTGCACATGCCCACTGAGCGATTTGCCCCCGCCCACCTTACGACGGCCGACTGAATTTAAAACGTATTTGTTTTTCTCCCGACCGTATGATTCCTGATGGGGAGCTGGTTGTGAGAGGCTGATCGCCTTGGTGGCGCCCTGGTTAGCGCACACGACCCATGTATGGAGGCCTTAGTCCTCCACGTAGGCTCGACTGATGTCCTTTCCCGCATGTCTCTCCCTCTCTCTCATACCCCATTTTCTGTCAGCCTACTGTTCATAAAAACAACCCACTAGTGCCGTAAAAACTCAAAACAAAACTCAAAAAAAAAAAAAAGAAATGTAAAATAATAGGAAATATAGGTAATATAATATGTTGAGACTGAAAGAGATTTGATTCTTAAGAAACAGGTGCAATACAGTTTGTCCGAGTGGAGTTTCTATATATTGACGACGTAAGAAGGGGCAGGACCCCGAGCAGATCTGGAACCTACACCAGCTTTAAGGAGAAACACCAGAGATTTTACCATCACCTCCATAATCACCGTTAAGGCTGATTTATACTCAGAAAGGGTTAGTGTCTGCATGTGTGTCGCCCCTTCTGCAGACACACTGCTGTACTCACCAAAACTGTAGGTGACCACAGATAGTGCCGCAGACAGGAGGCCTCTGATTGGTCAAATCTGCCTCCGCTCTACACTATGCGTATGTCCTGTTTGGTACCCTACCAGCTTGTTTTGTTTGTATGACCGCCATTGTGGAAAACAACTGGTGAAGTTATGAAGTTCGGTAAAGCAAGGTGTGCAAGAACGTTGGGAGCCTTTTTCCACCTGGATCCCCGCTCTTTTTGGCTCTCACGTCCCTCCGTTGTCAGACAAACTTGCCCCCACTTCCTCACTGCCTAGGCCGTATCTAGACCCACAGCTAGTTACTGAATGTTCCTCTGGCGTTGTGGTGTGGAATAACAGCGCAGGCCGCGCATCAATATTGGGCAGAAATCAAAAATATCTGCAACAAGTTCACTGTGACACACTGCTGCAGGAGTATAACCAGCCCTTTAACCTTAAGAGACATTCATATTGATTGTATCTTACTTTAAAAAAAACATGAAATGACAAACATATTTACAGATGTAATTATTTAAAGTCGAAATAGAACGATTAGAATTCAATTTCCTTATGGGAAGATATCAAAATATGTTCCAAACTCACCGCTCAACATCCCAGATACGAAGAGGAGAGGCGTCCTCACAGCAGGCCGTTCCTGTTACGAAGGAGCTGGACGAGAGGAAAACACACAGAGGAGGAGAATGGTTGAGAAGAACAGAACCAAACATGTTTGGGTCCAAACTAAACTCCTTACAACCCAAAAAGGAACTGAATTCTGCTTGGGAGTAGTTCCAGAGGCTACTCGGGGCTCAGACTGTATCTCTGACTCACAAACCCGAAGGTTTCCTTTGAAAAGAGATCAACATGAAATATTTAAACCAGCTGATATTAAACTTTCCATCAAAGCCTTTAAAACCAGTTTGGTAAGAAATCCATCTGTTTATCATTTAGTCTGCTTCTGTTGCTCTGTCATTGAAATCAAATAACAAACTGACTTTATCATCGGTATGAGAAAATGAATGTTTCTAATAAAAGTGACAATAGAAGATAAATGAACAGAAAAAGGGAAAATTGATGTGCGTGGAGGGGGGGGGGTCTCCATCACACCCACACACACTCAGACTAGTCGCTGACTCTTTTCATTACGCATTGTTTCCCAGCAGAAGAAAAGAGACAAAAACTACAACACTTGTGATCCTTTGATTGGAGAGGCAGTGTGGAATTAGTGGCCTAGGTATGCACGCTGAATGCCCCGCATGCAGAGCAGTCGCAGCGCACTGAAAGGAGAGGGGAGGAGAGCTGTTAGCCAGGGTTGACGGGGTGTGTTTGGCTGCTAGAAGCTATGTAGAGGGTGGGGTGGAGACCAGGGGTGCTGGTGGCAGGGGGGCTACTGTTGTACTGGGACTGAATCTCAGGACTTAGTGCCCTCCCATGGGGATGACAGACAGGAGGGAGGGCCCACTTTTATGCTCAGTAAGGTGGTTACAGACGAATGCTGCTCCCTGAATTCAAATACTGATGATGAATGTGCAGACACATTTTTAGCAAACCCAACAACAGGAAGGTGCAGGTCAAATAAATACATGAGAACCTGTAGACCTGAAGGTTGTTGGTCTGCTCTAATAATTCAAAGATAACCGATTCAAACGACAAACAGAGCACTGAGGTACCACATAAGGGCCGAGTCCTTCCTTAGTTAGGGCCTTGTCACACCTTGCCGATTTAGCCAGCATCTGCCCGACGTCCCAGAATCTCCTAAAACGCCGGCATACGAATTAAACGCTATTCCTGACATTTTGAATTGCAAAAGCTTCCTGGATGGGAAGCGAAACGCTCAAACTTGGAAACAGTGGATGGTTTTTTTAATTTTCTGTTTTTGGAATGACTATGACTGAGAATCTTCACCAGCAGCTGGCATACGCTGAGATTTCTAAGTATTTCTTTTTATTTTGTGTGTATACATAGAGTACTCATAATCAGTCCAGAACTTATGTCTAACGACAGCCTAACTTATGCATAACGCATGGCAGGTAATTATAAAGCATCGGTTAAAGCTGCTCCTCTCAGGCCCGGAGGCACCAGGTCTGCATAAAAAGATGTCTTTGATCGCGAATATTAACCTAACTCCTGTTTACTGCCTGCCCAAATAAAAAAAGAACAAATATAAAGAAAAAAGTAAAAGAAAGAAAGAAGGTTTGTAGTCGCAGCAGATTCAGCGTCATGTCTGCTAGGAAGTTTGTTGGTGGTGGGCGTGAAGCCAGGGAGGATCCATCACACTCTGGCTCACCCTATGATGGGGATGATGTCTAGAGGAGAACTGATGGTTTCCTCCTGTGAACCCCCTTTATACCAAAACGCTGCCAATACGCCATTATACAGTAGCTAGAAGTTAGAAACACGTCTGGAACACATCAGATATGTTGATATGAGTTGGAGAGAAGTTCTTGATAAGTTATGCAGAAGTTACTCATAGGTTTTGGATAAGCTTGACGCTACGACTTGTGAGTAACATACACTTAACGTATGTCAACGATCAAATAACTCACCCGTAACTTATGGCCCACGAATGAGCATAATGCTGAAATACGTGGGGAAATTTCCTGTTGTACTTGCCGTACGTCGACGTGTTTCAGCATACTTGAACGTGCTCGTAACTCATACTAAACGTACCCATAACTTATGCCAGTGTTTTTGCCAGATTTTCCGTACCTCAGGAATACGTTGGTCTGAATCATCAAGGTGTAGCGGGCTTTAGGCTGGGTGGTGTTGGTTTTGTCCTGAGGTGGTCATACTTTTTGGTTGCTGAAAATCTGAGGACAAATGATCTCCTCACTTGTGAGGATGTGCTCATGGAAGGTTTAGTCAGGTCCATATTGAAGCCTAGCTCCTATTGACTTGTCCTGACTGAGAAGAGCTGAGGGAAGGTGGACTTCCTTGTGGAAACACCACATCATGAATTCGTACTTCAATGTGCATTTAAGGAGATGTTTTGCTCTTGAAACTGGTTCATCCTTAATGTCGACCTGAAATTGGAGTTGCATCATCTCGGCTACTTGGAACATTCTAGTGGGTGGGAATCATGGAAAGGACCTCAGGGTAGACCGGACAAGACAAGTCTGTAAACATAGCATAGCGTATTTTTTACTTGTAAACTTTCTGGTAAAGATATATTTTATTGCATGTTGCATATCCCAGTAAATCTGTTTTGCTTTTAAATCTGCAGCTCTCCCTACTTAGTTTTATGAACCTCTTTACTTATTTAATGATGCCACAAACTAAATTTCAAGATCGTTAGAAGCTCTGCAGTCTGATTCTGTCTGTTCAATAAGAAAACATGTTAATTTTAACCTGTAACTGTGACCTAACTCATGGTCCTCTGAGAAGCCAAGATTTTTTTAAATTGTAAAGAAGAACAAATTATATTTTCTCAAGCTTCTTGCATTATAATACTAACTTGTATAAACTTACAATCTGTTGCTGGTTTTAGCTGAAAAAGCTCTGTATGTCTAATGAACAGATTTTTCTGTGGTATGATCTCTAATTATTTTAACCAACACGTATCCTAACTTTTACTTAAACATCGAAGTAGCTGCTGGTTAATATTTACTGAGTGCTGCTGTGTGTCTCTCCTTCAACCATGTAGCTACTTTCTACAGCAGTGAAATGTGACGGCTGATGTCTCAAAGCAACAGATCTGATCATGTTACATCGAGAGGCGGGACATGGGAGCAGCGGGAGAGAGGAAGAAAAACACCGACTCAAAACGCTCTGAACACAGTTAGCTGCACCCATCTCTGTTACCTTTGGCTAAAATAAATGAGCGGAAAGGGGAAAAAAAGCGGAATTTATTGGTGGAGACATGTCCCCACCAGGCCAAAGTCAGTGGGTCATGTCCACACCAGTCCTGTGGTCCCCAAAGACTCGCCACAGATGTTTTCTGGACACACGCTCTGTAACTTAGTGGGGGCCAACAGAACACACATTTCAGGAAGCCCAGTAGAAAAGCCTGGTTCCAGTTGTACCAAACGGGCCAAGCAGAGCCATTATCACGGATGGAGGTGGGATCATCATCATGGCAATGCAAGTAGGGGCGAATTGTGCTCAGGATGTGTGTACTGGGGTAAGGGGTCACCGGGAAGCGGTGGTGTTGGGGGGTGCATCTAAGCACGACCCTGAAGGAATATGTCAAGCCTGTTTGCAAGAGCAGTCCCTTGGCAGGCCCCGTTAATTAGTGTTGGGTAAACTCATTTAAGGCCCAAATGGGTCGGACAGGGCCAAGACCAGTATGTGCCATGGGCGACCTCTGACCCTGCTGACACAGGATACAATAGGGTTACCCTCACACTCACTATATGCACCCTATTACTCTCCATTACTCACATTACTCACCCCTCAGTGGTTTGCAGCGCTGGCAGAGGACGGCTGGAGGACACCCTCCCTCCCCCGACGCAGTCCCCCCTCTGAAGTGCCAACCGGGCCTGATTTTGGGTCAGAGCCAGTACTGATATTATAGCTGCTAAGGTCAGAGCCTCTGTCGCCTAATGTGGGGCAGGTGTCCACACACACACACACACACACACACAGTGTAAGACCAAACCAGTGACCCCGCCAACCCCACCTCACATCATTAGCAGCATGCTGGGCCTCTGTTAGCGTTTGGCTAACCTCATCAGCTGCCTG